ATCTGTGGTGGAGGTGCCCCCCCGCCGTATGGCTACCATGGGAGGCGGTTTGAGAGTGCGATCAATAATCAAAGACAACAAACCTGCACGCACACCTGGGCGTCAGCGCCAACTTCCACCTTGATTATGCTCTCGCTCATTACAGACGGCGCGATTATCGCGCCGTCATCTTTCACGACCAGTTTCTTGTCGAGCCTCAGCGGGACGTAAGAGTCGGGAACGCCAAACGAAAGATTGAGAGGGTCCTGTGCGTCTTTCATAGCGTTGAACAGACGGTGGAATCGGCCTTTGCGGATCCATCCAACGTCTCCGATGAGCACTTCGCTGTCTTCTATGGGTTGGGGATTCCACAGAGCATAGCCATAACCAAGGCCGCTCAGTTGTTCCGCGTACACATTCCAAGGCAAGTCCATGGCGGGACCGTCCAAGTTCTCTTTGTAGGGGCTAGTGGGCTTGAAGTGAGCGAGGAGGCTATGTCCCTCGAAACTTTAAAAGAGAGCATTGAGTAAAGTGCGCAGCACCGACGTCGCACAGCCGTATGTCGCCGAGGCGACAGCGGCGGCACCATTGTACTCATTTAGCACATCCACTGGCAGTGGCACTCGGTCGGAGAGTGGTCCGCCATGACACGCAGCTATTCATAGTTGATGGAAAACCACACTGGTCAGCTAGGGTTGCTACATCAGGGCCATCAGCACTCTGCCTCCGCACTTCAGTCTAAGTCTTGCAACGGGGCAGAATCAGTGACACACAAATGTTCACAGCGCAGACTAGAGATATTCGATTGAGGGCGATGCTGCTGCTGCTGCTGCTGCTGCAGGTTCCGCAACGATAACTTGAACCTCGGCGCCGATTGCTATTCATTATGAGTTGCGCGTTTATTCCGGATCTCGAGGACGTTGACCAGTATAGAACACAACAACCGCGAAAAGGATGAACGCAGATTCATCAGCATTGTGTTGTCGAGAGCTCTGGCGCAGATGCGAGTTGCGAGCGTGCAAATCGAAGTCGGGAAACGGAAGAGAAACAGGCGTCTAGTAAGCGCCGCGCTCTGTTCAATTCGCGGCGTTGTCAAGACTCAAAAGAAAGGTTCAAGCATTCACTCACGTATGGAAGCTGCGTCCAATACAATGAAAGCATGGGTCGTAGGACTAGAAGAAGATAGTAGCACGGACTTATAATACAACACAACCCAATGTAGTATATATTGTCCAGTCATGCGCTGGCAGCGCTGGCAAATGGCCTCGGATCAGGAAGAATTGGGTGAGATCTATCTTTCAATGCACCCCAACATGGACGCCAACACCTGCGAGTGTGGACATCCTGTTGACGGCCATGACTGAAAGCACAGCACATCGGACTACCATTCATGACATTAGATAGGCGCGTTCCACAAAAATAGCAAAGGAATAACACTTACACGTTTTGCGCGCGTTGAAGATTCCTCTATCTAAATTGATTCTGCTGTTTCTTCGGCTTTCCGACGCGTAACGATAGATGGGCGTATGAGGTCGAGGTATTACCTGCCCCAAAACCTCCTCCAACAAAGGTATTAACGCGTCGCTATTTTGAAGGATATCAGATGAGGATGCAGCCTTCATATACGAATCCCCATCTTGCTCGGCAGGCTTTACCTGGTGTGGATAGCATGCACCGTATTAGGATTCAAGGAACGTTTGGGATGGCTGGTTGACGTACCTGCTCAACAGGTCGGAGATCCAGTGACTGAATGTTATTCTCCTCCGGTATTCGCTCCAAGTCTGGGGCCGCCACGGTTTGAGGCATGAGAACCTGTCTTGATGGCTCCCGCGAGTTTTGATCTCCAACGCCTAGTGTTCCAACTGCAGGGCCTAAGTATGCCTAATTCAATGAATCCACCGGATGACTTACGGCCATTTTCGTCAACTCTAATTTCAGGTTTAGCATCTCTGAGAATGGAGACAATATCTTGAGTAGGAAGATATCCCTAGACAATGCTATCAGATCTCGACTACAGTAAGTGGACTAGTCACCGACTTTACATAAGAGACCAACGGTCTTTGTTCCGGCTAAAGCTGTGTCGGCTTCGGAATGCTACAAATATCGCACGTGGAATTAGATAATCAATGGCACAGCTTTCGACAACGCAAGCCACTCAGTACCTGGAGAATATAATCCAAGATGCTATCAACAGGGTCAATTACCTGAACTAACATCAGCCACTCGATAAACTTGATATAATGAGGACATACAGGCTGATTATTGGGAACGTTTTGAATGGTGTAACCACGCATTCCACCCTGCATCGAGGTACTTGACACGGCCAACCCGAATCCACCCCGGGCATCATCCATATCATCCGGTGACCGAGGTAGAGGGCGCGGCTCCGCTGCTGCCCGAATGGACCTGGGTAGTAATTGCGGGAAAATACCTTTCATCCTGTCCTTCAGCTCATAGTAATGTAGAAAGATACATTGATCCGCATTGTGAGATTCACGATTGGGTCCTGACTTCTGGTGAAGAGATGCCGCAACATCCTTAGATCCGCTGAGGTAGAATGAACCGGATGCGAGAGACTCCATGCCTCCTTTGAATGACAAATAGCCTCCTCGGGTACCATCACGGAAAGCGGCAACCGCCCACTTGGAAGTTTTCATCCAGCCGCTGACGAAGATAATCTCGTGCCTTTTGATGACGAGCTTCGCTTTTTGAACGGCATGGCGATGCCAAGAATCGTGGTTCCTGAGGAGGTAATCATATACAACGCTGTTTTCGACCAATTCTTCGCTGTGGGCTCGTTCTGTCGGCAGGAATAGCATGGCTCCACAGTCTTCCGTGTATCTGTAATGGACATGGCCGCCAGCCAGGTGGCTTGTATATTCATTTCGTCAGCAAAATATATGATATGAGCATTTAACTGGACATGGACTTACGCGTGTGCATCAGCACCGGCTTCGACCTTGGTCAAGGTTGCACTCATCACCGATGGAGCGATGATGGCGCCGTCATCTCTCTCATACATGTTGGAACCAAGCTCCAATGGTACGTAAGATTCAGGGACGCCGAAGGCAAGGTTGAGTACGTGGTCTGAGTCTTTTGTGGTATTAAAGAGACGGTGGAATCGACCCTTGCGGATCCATCCTACATCGCCAACGAGTACCTCGCCGTCTTCCATAGGTTGGGGATTCCATAGTGGAAAGCCGTATCCAAGTCCACCAAGCTGTTCTGCGTACACATTCCAGGGAGGATGCATGAGGTTTTCTGATAGTCCGTTGGGCACAGTCGTAGGATATACTATGGCTGTTATCTTTTGGTATCTGAGAGGGGAAGATTTATACTCGAGCCGCGGCGATTCGCGTTTACCGAAACATCGGAATTTTCAACTAGACGCAGTACTCGCTTCTTGATTGAGATAAAGAGGTGGCCTCAACACGTGTCGCGACTTCCAATGACATCCGGTGGTCCATCACGGCCGTCTGTACCAACGTGATGATAATTGATGGTCTGAACCGCACGGAATGATCAAGTAAGTTATGGCTTCAATACGGACGTCAGCTCTCTCGCTCCGCCGGATGTCTGCTGATGGTTGGGGACTACATGGGGTATAAGACTCACCAGCGCATGATGCATTCGCGAAAACGAACAAATTGTAGAACGCCGCACCAAGACAGACCTTTGTATCCAACTCTATACGAAAATAAGCAATGCATCTCTTGATTGGGCAAGCATCCGCGGAAGAAAGTGCCCAGTGAGAAAGTGCCAGTCTGCGCGTGAAAATCAGGACCACACTTCCCAAGTCCATGTCATGAGACACCCGACCTACACAACAGTGACAGCGTTTACTATCAGTAGTCTATAGAGACTATCGTAGCCCAGAAATTTGTGAACGTGAGAATTCAACCATGATACCTTGAAGTAGGAGACACTGAGACAGAGCTAGCGGCTAGCTGTAGTCCTGAAAAGGCAGGCGACGTCGTTCAATCTCGGGGTAATCCGCAGATCCAGTTTGGCGCCTAAGCCGTACTTAAAAGTTGTCTACACCAATGGCATTCCTAGAATACACTCAGATCGTACAGCACATTCGAGGCAGCAATTCACGAGATTTAAGTCCAATGGCCCTGCTCGCCTGCTATTTCACCATCGCCAAAATCCTACTTGGCAGCACCCAACGACACTTTGGCCATTGCGTCGCTTAGCCGCTGCGCGTGGTGATCGTCGAGGGACCCACCCTCGGAGCTCGACAAGCTGTGATCGAAACGCGTTACAGTATGTTCCTATGGAAAGTGCGTCAGCACGCCAGCATCCACAATTTTCGGTAAACCCCTACCTCGTTGACGTGCTCCTGGATAATCGAGTTCAACAACTGATGAACATACTACTAGCAACATCAGAACGAGTTCACGGACCTTCTCTGATTCCTCCATCAATTGTCGCAAGTTGGGTCCAGCCGAATTGCTTGTAGAATGTGAGTGCGCCAAAGTGGACATTCGCTTCATCGCCATCATCGAGAAGACTGCCTTGCGGACTAGTGATAGTCATGCGTGAGTCAACTAAACCATCATCCGCAACTATGCTAATACCGCTTACATGTCTTGCGCGCGTCGAAGTGCTTCTTGACGTGCGGTAGCAAGTCCGTCGGGCCGCCAGTTGGACTTTCCGGGTCGGGTACATAGTGTGGTCGGTCTGAAGCGAGCCACTTGTGATTGAGTGCTTCTGCCGCTGTTGGTCGGGATGCAGGATCGATGGTGAGACAAGCCGATACAAAACTGCGCGCAGTATCGGAGACATTGGCCCAATATTCCTCTGTCAATAGTATGAGTGCGTGGAAAGAGACGTCACAGAAATCCATCGTACCTGGTTCAAACTTGTAATCTCCTGCGATAATGGCCTCCATCTCTTCCTGCTGTGAATTGCGATCGAAGGGTGTGTAGCCTAGCATTGTCAGACAATTTATCATACTTCAATGCCGTAGGACATACCACAGAGCAGGAAATAAGTGATGACGCCCATTGCCCAGACGTCGACGGGTTTGCCGTGACCAGCTATGAATACCAATAAGATCAGATCGTCAACAGGGAATGACAAGGCAGCCTCATACTTTTTTTGAATATCTCGGGAGCCATATACTGAGCCAATCTTCGTCAGAAGTGGAATGTCGCAGTTCAAAACTATACTTACCCCCGGTGTACCACAAATCTCCGTCAATGCATGGTCGTCCATGACCCGACTCAGACCGAAGTCAGCAATCATGATGTCAGCATCCTCGTCTTTAGTGCGGAACAACAAGTTTTCCGGCTTCAGGTCTAGTCAATACAACGTGAGCTCTTCGAGGACAATAATTCAATAGCAGCGATACCTCTGTGCACAATGCCGCAGCTGTGAATATACTTGACGGCATTGAAAATGATACGGATCAGATGCGCGGCATCCCTGAAAGAGTATCACTCATTCAGTAAGAGAACCCAGTAGCTCCGTGAGACGTACGCTTCATAGTAGTTGCCTTTCGCGCATATCCGGTCGAACAGCTCTCCGCCTGTGCAAAGATCGAAGCAAAGGTAAAGATTATGTGAAGTCTTCAGGGATATCGATGAGCGCAATTCCTACATTCATCAATAGGAGCAAGAACGCACCTCGAAGTAATCGTGCAGGGTAACAACGTTGTAACACCCTTTCGAAATCTTCTTCAGCACAGCGATCTCGTTCCGGACCTGATATCCGCATCGCGAACAGTTAGTACACACAATAGGAGCACAGCCGGAATGGTAGGAAGGGGTGGAGGACGATCAACACCTTGATTGATGGGCACAGGGGTGACTGGAGCGAATACGCACCATGTATTCCCGGCCCTCCATGAGCTTTTTGTTGATCACCTTGCAGGCATAGTACTTCCCCGTCTTGATATGGACAGCTTCTTTGACTATGGCATAAGTGCCGCTACCCAGGGTTTTCCCCGTCCGGTACTAGTTGTAGATCAGCCACCAGACAGGGTCCGCAGTGGAGACGAGCACAACAGCACACACCTGGCATGGCACTGTCGCTGGATTGGCCATCTTCAGCGATGAAGCGGGATGCTGTCGAGAAGAGAGAAAGGTGAGCGAGCTGGGGTGATGGACAGACGCAGGACAGATAGAGATTATAGTGGCAGAGACAAATATAGCATGCTCGCGCTCGTCTGATCAGACCTAACTTACTGGCTTTGCAGTGTCGGGCAGTGCCGGTCCCTGCGCACTGCGGTCCTCTCTCTTTCTCTCCGGAGGCCGCTCGACTGCACCCGCTTCTGGCTGGTCTGATGTTCTGGCTGTGTCTGTTCGCTTATTACTCGCAGGCTTCCGTATTGTGTGTTCCAGCAACTTCGCAGCCAAGCTCTGCTCCGAGCTGCTGTGGCTGTCTAGACTGAGAGAATGGTCTTGCCGTGTATTCTTGCTGGCGGATCGTTGCGAACTAATTTGGGCACCCATCGCGATGTCTGCTGCGACGAGAGGAGAGAGTAATTGATAAAGGGGGCGTTGTTGGCCTGCCCCCTGCTCTTATATAGGTCTATCCGACGCCACGATTGCTGCACGCCGCAGCGATATTCCATTTGCCGAATAAGCTGTGCTCTGCATCGCCGAGCTGAGGGTTTCCCCTTCCAGCGGACTTGGCGGAAGAGCGAAACCACTCTTCCCTGATTATGCGGACTCTCAACCTCATTCTGGCTGATGCCGGGAGCACTTTGTTTCCAGACACTTAGATCCCGGCTATATAACGCATCTCTAGTCTCTCCGTCATTGTGCCCTTGTCTTGAGGGCATATACAGAAGGATCACAAGGCAATTCCTCGGTTCCGACCAATATGACGACAGCGCACCCTGGCCACCACGCCCATCCAACGAGCATGTAGGCCATGCTCCCAACGCAAGGATTTCTGATCCGGAATGCTGAAGTTCTTTGGACACCACCAGTTAATGTGAATAGAGAACGGAGCTTGTTCAATAGCTGGATCCCAGCTGAAGACCCTGCACATTACCCCAACTGTGATAGTTACCGTATAATACAGCACAGTGCAACTGCCACGTCTGGCTCGTCTATTAGAATGATGGCGCACATTTCTAAGCATCCCTGGGGCGCAATCACGGTATGACATGAAGTCATTCTGGCAGCGGACCATGACTGTGAAAAGCGAGGCAAACATGCATACGTCAAATACGATTCAGCATTGCGGTAGCATGGCACTCACGGTCGCAGGGTGTCATGAAGATGCCTGTGCTACAGTATTTTCGGCTGCCCGCGCGTTTGTCTCCAGCTGCTCACGAACCATGACACGTATCCGCATGCCCTCCCAGCCCAGCAACTCCGCCTTAGTCTTCAGCACGTACTGGTCGATGCCTCCATACTTCGTTGTAAGAGAGCAGCGAATGTGAGCGAATCTGCAGCCAAAAGAACATGCACAAGAACATGATGCATACCTTCTTGATCGTTTTCAGCGCCCGCGTAGACACCTTCACCTGCACGAAATTCTGCATGGCATCAGAGAAGAAGCGTTTGTTCTGGATATTTGGCAACCATGTCCGCCGTGTCTTCTTCTTGGAAAAGGGGACGTTGTTTCCGTATTGTTTCGTCTTGCCATGAAAAAGTCCAAGCTGGGATCGCTTGAACGGCATGCTGACAATTTCTTTCAAAAGAGTTGTCGAGGGAAACATGACTGGTCGCTCGGTAGGCTCAGTCGCAGTGCACGCTACGGCCCACGGCGTTGTTCCTTTACAACGCAGAGACCTGAGCGCTTTGGAGGGATTCTAATATAATTACGTAATCTTGGAGGCTCGCTCGCCCTGACTTAGAATTTGTGTAGTGTAAACTTGGGCGCCCACCAGTAAAACAACATATAACTTGGCGGTATATTAAATTTGGGTCATATGGACAAGCGTTCAGATGCACTCATACCCAAAGCTGCTGGCAAAGTTTTCTCACATGGACCTAGAAAGAGGAAGTCCGCCTCATCATCCCGCTCAGTGCGCTCAATGTTGAAGACAGCAACCATTCCACCGTTGTCCTGAACATCAGATGCGATGCTGGCAGCGGGTTGAACCTATAAGCACGTTGAGCCTCATGCGTTCGAGCATTACAAATCTCACTCACAGTTGACGAAGTACCAACGACAAGACATAAGTCAGCTTGTTCAACCAACGTGTTGATTTCCTCCATGAAATAAGGGACCTCCTCAAACCAGACGACACCAGGGCGTGCGAGCGCCCCGCACTTGGTGCATCGCGGAAGGTTTGCGAGCGGAATGTTCGGTTCCTCAGCTCCTGCCTTCACTAGTTCCTCGGTGCCTGCAAGTGCTGGGCAAATCGGCGAATTGAAGTTGGGCTCACGATGGCCACACGCGTTGGCAGTGCAAATCACCTCGAACAGTCTGCCGTGCATCTCAAGAAGGATGGGATCTGGCTGATCTGAGGGCACGGGGAGGTCATAGTTTTGGGCGGCACTATGCAATGCTTTGCGACTGAGTCCGTCCACATTCTGTGTGATCAGTGTAAATGTGGACTCCGGAGCAACTCTGTCTCTGATGTGCTGAAATGAGAATTCTGCAAGTGCGCGATGTGCATCGTTTGGTTGTGCTGTACGAGCTCTGAATCGGGAGATATGTGTTGATTAGCAGTTTTCAAAGTTAAATCTGAGATACATACGTCTCACGTCTGTAGTGATAGAATTGCCAGACACGCGATGGGTTGTCACGAAACGCAGTTGGGGTAGCGATGGAGAAAGCATCGTATTTGCGCCACATTCCCCCGGCCCCTCTGAAAGTTGGTATTCCTACGGGACGGGACAGGTAGATCTGGTGGCTGTGACCACTTAGTCAGAATTTACAAACCTGAGGCGGCCGAGAGACCGGCCCCGGCGACAGCGATGATATGTTTAGAAGAGGCCAGAACATCCTTGAATGCAGACATGTTCGCAGACGGCTGAGTAGTAGAACCCTTGCATGCAGATGGTATCTTCCTGTAAGATTCAAACGTGGTTCAAACGACAGCATACCTGCATTTATAACGGGGCACAGGCAGCAAGGGCAAGGGCAGCTGCGCAAGTTCGATGAACGATGAACGATCGAAGGCGTCGACTCGGAGACAAGATCAACGCCACCAACGCGTCGATGTCACGTGGAGGGATCTCTCCCTCTAGATTTCGGCTTTCGGACTCGACGCGGCGCCACCACAGGCAGTCGAGTGAAGGAGACCATTTACGCTTTCCTCGCAAACATTGTCTGGACTGGCTGAGCGGTAATATCGATTCTCGACACCCTTGTCCAATCCGCGTAGGCTCTTGACATACCCCGGCTACTCCTTTCGTGAGATCCAGCTGATTACTCAGAGATTGCCGTTGCCATCCTGAACGGCCTGGGATCCAGAAGACGACAAGAACATTCTCTGGCGGTGTCTTTGGGTGCAATAGCAGTTGGCGAGGGCACCAGAACCACGTGAATTCTCACAGTGTTCTCATCGTGAGCCCTGCTGACAACCTGCTTGATCTATCCTTCGGACGAATAGCCGACACCGTCCTCTTATATCTGGCAGTCGAGTGTCTGAGAGAGACCCGAGTATCTGACATCGCTTGCATCCTTGTATCGTCTCTTCGTGCCGCCCCGTCAATTCAGCTACACAAAAACCTCAAAATGAGTGCACTATGGCCTCGCTCCATCGCCTACTCTCGACTCGTCAGACAGTCGCCAACTCCTTGTGTAGCAAGTGTACTGCGTAGAGGCTTCGCAAGCAGCGGATACAGAATGCGTGAGTTCATTCACTCTCTGGCTCTGATTGCGCTCATGCGGCAGTCTCATTATCATGTTGTGGATCTCAATGCGGGGTAATGTGGTGACATTAAACGAACAATTGGGACGCCTCTCTGTGAACATGGAACCTGGTGGTAACGACTGGTGTGGACAGAGGACAAGATTGTGGTCAAGAACCCAGTGGTGGAGCTGGACGGAGATGAAATGACCAGAATTATTTGGAAAAAGATTCGGGAGGAGGTAAGTTTACTTGAGACACCAGACATCCACTCACACTCATCTACTCCTCCCTAGCTCATCCTTCCCTATCTCCAACTGGACATCAAGTACTTCGATCTTGGCTTGGAGTACCGAGATGCGGTACGCCAGCTTCTCCTCCCCCTCGCGCGGAGGACCCATCACGCTGAACACACTCTATTACACGCGCCTCTTACCAGACAAACGACAAGGTGACGGTCGACTCGGCCGAAGCCATCCTCAAGTACAGCGTGGGCATCAAGTGCGCGACGATCACACCGGACGAAGCCCGTGTGAAGGAGTTCAATCTCAAACAAATGTGGAAGAGCCCAAACGGCACGATCAGGAACATTCTCGGTGGTACTGTTTTCCGTGAGCCCATCATACTGCAGCGCATCCCGAGGCCGGTCCCGGGCTGGGTAAATCCCATCGTTATTGGACGTCACGCGTTCGGTGACCAGGTAAGTGGAGCACGGCTGCTATTACAAACGTTAGTGTGCCTTAATTCTGATCGCGTCTGCGGTAGTATCGGTCGACGGATTTTGTTGCGCCTGGTCCCGGAAAGCTTCAGCTTGTTTTCCGTCCCGCAGATGGTGCAGAACCGACAGTGATGGATGTGTATGACTTCAAGGGCAAGGGCGTTGCAATGAGTATGTACAACACTGATGAGGTGGGTACCCCGAGCCGAGGTTGCATCCGAAGACTTATTGCCGTGTGCTAGTCGATCACTGGGTTCGCGCACTCGTCATTCAAGATGGCGCTTTCGAAGAAACTCCCGCTGGTACGCAAACTATGTACCGGGGAGTTGTTTGGTAGCTAAGCGTGTGCACAGTTCATGTCGACCAAGAACACGATTATGAAGAAGTACGACGGTCGATTCAAGGACATCTTCCAGGAGATCTATGATTCGTGCGTTGCTCGGCCTCCTAACGTGCTCGTCTTACTAACCGTAGACCGCATACAATATGTGAAACAGGACGTACAAAAAGGCGTACGAGGAGGCCGGAATCTACTACGAGCATCGTCTTATCGACGACATGGTCGCACAGGCGATCAAGTCCTCAGGCGGCTTCGTCTGGGCGTGTAAGAACTACGACGGCGACGTGCAGTCCGACATCCTCGCGCAGGGCTTTGGCAGTCTGGGCATGATGACAAGCGAGCTCATCACCCCCGACGGAAACGTCATCGAGAGCGAGGCGGCGCACGGTAAGCTCTGTTGCGGCGCATAGTACTCGTACGCTCACGTTCGGTGTCTTCATTCACCGCAGGAACGGTGACCCGGCACTACCGCGAGTGGCAGAAGGGCAACGAGACGTCGACCAACCCCGTCGCATCAATCTTTGCATGGACGCGGGGTCTGCTGCACCGCGCGAAACTCGACGGTAACGACGCGCTGCGCGCATTCTGCCAGGACCTCGAGGCCGCGTGTGTGGAGGTGATTGACGAAGACGGTGTCATGACGAAGGATCTTGCGCTCGCAATCCACGGGAAGAACATGAAGCGCGAGCACTGGGTCATCACGGATGTGTACATGGACGCCGTGAACGTGTGTCTATTGTTCTTGTCACTGTTGCGCTGCAAATGCTGACCTATTGCGACTAATGCAGAACAAACTGAAGAAGAAGATGGCCGCGAGGTCAAAGCAGTGAATGTGTGGCAGTCGCCGAGACTTGGAGCAGGTGTTGACGTTGGCTCAGGCCAACGCAGAGCGGGCCCTGCGCGATGTATCTAATTTGCATCTATTGAGTTGCCATGTACGATCTACACTCTAATTTTTGGGAGACAAAGAGAAATGCCCCTTCGAAAATTTTGTACATGGAATCGTGGAAGAACACGTTTGGCTTACTGGTGAGTTGATCTCTATCCGCAATGGCTTGAACTTTCGCTGTAGCGATTTTCTTTTTCATATTGATAAAAAAGAAGTAAGCTTTTGTGTTGGACATTCTGGGATTGCACGCACAATGTGCAAGTCGAGAGAAGAGGTGATGGTGAGAAACGCCGCAGTCGTTTAAGGACAAGGTTGTGCGTGTGAGTCCCCCCTGTGATGTCAGTCAGAGCGGGTGTGGCCGGTAGTAGTAGTGGCGAATTGCTCAATCAGTAAGGAATAGCATCTTGTCTTCACTGGCATTTGGGGCGACTTGAGGGAGGACGACGGCTGAAACTTCGTTGAGTTGAAGAGGGTTCCATTCACCCTTGCTTAGTCTCCTGTGAACAGAGTGAATTTCGCTCCTGCAGGTTTCGAATATTCGTTACCTTCGCCGCGCACATCATGATGCACTTTCGAATAGATGCGCCGAGCCTACGGCGCGGACCGCAGACTCTGAGCGGGATTGCCGGATTTATGTAGCGTTGGTGCGCCATTAATTTGTACATTAAATTGATAGCATGTACACTAGTCCGTTGCCTACGTTTTAAAACTGTTCGATACGAAAGAACGAACGCAATAACCATACTGGCCGCAGCACAGAAAAAATGAAGGACGCCGTCATACCGACGTATGCAAACTGACATAGCAGATTGAGAAAACCAAAATAGGTCCCAGATATTGTGATTCATCATGTGAACCGCGAGATTTATGCGGGCGATACCTCCGCATGTTGGCGTGGCGGGAGGGGCGAGGGAAGCTTGAAATGACGGCCAACAGGGGTCACTGGTCGTATCTTTTTCCACCAGGTACGCTGTCCGTTCGTCTGGGCGGACTCGAGCGTTGACATATCCGGCGAGCTTTCCACTGATAATTTCTCCACTTGCACGCGGGGAGCGCCGCTCACGCTGTCGGTGCTCGCGCTGCGCATCGAGTGCTCACCTGCACTGGGGGAGAGCGACAGCGAGTCACTTGATGCGTCGGTCGATTGTGAGGGTGCGCGGCGAATGGCGGGCGGGGCATAGTATGTGAATGGCGACGGGGACAGGCTAGCTGTAGGCACGGGGTTGAACAGATTTTCGATGAGGTCCTCGGTGGATCGCAATCCAGCCGAGGAAGCGAGCTTATCTGTGTCAATGCTGCCATCTAGTTTCAAGAAGGGATGACCTTCTGCGTCGTCATCTTCTGGGTGAGTGTATTGATCAAGCTGTCGGGCGACACTCGTCCGGAGGAGGTCGTTATTCGAGAGTAGGCCCGTGATAGAGGCAAGAATCTCTCCCTTACGGAGAGGAGGAGGTCGATAGTGTTTGACACCATCAACGAAGTCTAATTCAACTGTCATCTGCACGAATGGACTTATTAGGTGCTCATTAATTGAGACAGACCAATCCAACCTTAAGTGTGGCGTTCGTCTTGCTCTCACGCAAAAGATATCTCCGAGTGACTGGCCCTGCATCCGCGTATTCTGCGAGGTTCAAATAGACTGCGCCTATCCGTGGCTGTCGTGGCGAGTCGGGATCACCTGGTATGACACGCTACATCTGTATCTCAATACAAATAGCAATAATCAACACTGATCTTCCCGCACCTGCATGACGACTAACTTAAGCTCATTTTGAAGCAGGTCGGCTGTCTCTCGATGAACATCCATCTGCACGAGCACATTGAATTCGTGCTCCCACTTGACATTGTAGCTCTGCAGCGGCTTCCACGGGGTGATACCGCGTGCAACGGAACGTGTTTCAGTGGATGTTGAGGACGGAGTCTTCTGGATCTGACCCGGAGCCGGAGTAGGGGTCACGGGAGGCACAGCGGTCTCAGGCGAGAAATCATGGTCGGCAAGGAGGTCGCCCGATGACGCATTCGCATGCAAGTGCGGGGAATAGCCCTCATCCTCTGTACCCTCTTCCTGTGCGCTGCTCTCCTCGTCGACGTCGTCCCCCTCCCCCTCCGCGGGGGTGACTTCGATGGCAAGACCAAGTTGCGCTGCACGCCCTTTTCCCTTGTTTTTGGACGACCATGAGCGACTGCCTTTCATCTTGGAGAGCAGGCCTGATCGCGACTGGACGTTTTTAAATTTCCAGCGGACGGCAAACTGACCGCTCATGAGAGGAACATTGGAAAGCTGATCGATATTAATGTGGACTTGGAAAAGGGCGTGGCGGGGCAGGAGCTGGCCGAACTGAGAGCGCAAGCCGTAACCAAGTGCATGCTGTTGCTGATGGGGGTCGGAGGATGTAGATACGCTTGCGCTGGAGGTCGAGGCGGCAGAGGGAGTGCGGGAGTTCTTCATCGCTTCAGGGGACATGATGGGTGGAGGGGTTCATATAGACAGCAAAAGGGGCATGCCGGCCGAGCAGACAGCTGAGAATGATAGGAAGGACGCAAGCGCCAAAATGTTGATGTTGAATACCGCAAGACCCGTCGCCGGAGCTGATAAAGGCTAGTATCTGAGCATAGGCCTTTGTGCGAACTCAAGGGCGCGGGGCGGAATCAGAGGTGGTGCAATCAGATGGTGGGAGGCGCCAGGGAAAAGCACGCTGCAAAAGCACGAGACGAGGAGTAATGAGAGCGAGCTAAGAGACAAAGCTGAGGAGGACAAGGCGAGAAAGGAGAGCGAGAGAAAGCCAGGCGGTGGCTGCGAGTGTGAGTGGCCCGATGGCAACTGTCTTGCCGGCGAGCCGAGTGCGGATGTCACGTAAGCGTCTAGACTCACCGCCGTCACCGTTACCGTTACCGTCACACGTGACCCTTCGTCACCGTGACCGAGTCGGTGTGACGATGTTCAGCGCGTCCAACGCTCGAATGCAACGCACGTCGTCCACGCCACTCCGCCGCCTCTCTTCCTCCTCTTCAGATCCAACCCTCTCAACTCTCGCGGTCCACGCTGTGTGCTTTCTCATCCTCGCAGAGAACATCCCTGGAGAAGCTCAGATCTCCAGTTCGAATCGCGACGTCTCTGTGCCCTGTCGTTACGCCGTTGCACGCCCCAGCCTTACATTACTGTGTGAGTGGCTAGAACCCCGCTTCTCTTCGCAAATTGACTCCGTTGCCCCAGACTCTCATTATTAAATCGGGTACTTGCCTCGTATCTCTCAACCAACTCCTCTCCTCTGTCCATGGCATCGTCCTCCCTCTTCCACTCACACTATACCACTTCAAGCGAGGCCGAACGCACCCCCCGCTTCACTAGCCTCTATAGCTCGGTCCTTGGCTCTCCATTTCTGACTACCTCTGACCTTCCTCCCGATGCCAACTACCCCAGCACGTCTGCCTCTAATCGCGGTTCTCTTGGCACCCTCCTCATACGCGCAGACGACGAACTTGAGCAGGTCGATGGTGCATTCGCCTCCGTCCCTCGAGCATACACCGTGACACGCCCGCCGTCGCCCTCTCCCAGCTTCCAGACAGACACCTTCTCCATAATTAACTGGAATCCGGATACCTTGCCAAGTCCATATGGCACACCTGATGATAGCACACCACGCTGCATTCCTTCGGGCGGGCGACGCACCATAGCTGGATACCATTCTTCCTCCACTCCTCATTTCCCCTCCTTCTCAGGCCCGTCTAGTCCGAGTCCTCTGAAGCCGTCAAGGAGCCTCACCCTGGGTATCTTGCCTCGGCTCTGGGATGCCCTGCGCGAAGGTTCCCCCGGGAAGAAAGGCAAGCGGCGCCCGGGCTTGCCGCCTACGTCGTCTTGGGCGACCGCATTTATAGACGAAGACGGTCAGGAGATCATCGACTGGCTCAACATGCCTCCCTTGGATGGCGAGGAAGGCGAGCTCATTGACGATGAGGCCTGTTACATTGATGCCACTCGCGTCACGGGCACCGGTGAGTGCAGTCCGCCAACCATGTTGGAGCTTTCATTGTTTTCCCATCTTTCTGTCTGTTGTCCCTTTGTTAATCATAACATATATTTATTACCGGCGGCTGCAGTTCAGCTCTTGAGGGCGCTCATCTAATTCTTTCTTTCATTATGTAGCGGGTCGGTCGCTGAGATCTAGAAGCGTGGTGAGCCGTAGACCTGTGACCCGGGACTTAGGTGCGCTCGCCTTAGATTCGCACTTTCTTCACCCTTTGCCATCATTTTGTTTTTGATTGCCTTATATTGCTTGTATCAATAAGGTCTCTGATTGCGCACCACGTTTTCATAGATATTATTAGCCATCTACCTACGGAGATTGCGCTCTACGTACTGTCTTTCCTCGACTTACCTGCCGTTCTGTCCTGTCTGCGTGTATCGAGGTATGGTTTCTCGGCTCCTCCAGGAGTCAATTGACTGACGCGCCGCAGGACGTGGAATTGCTTATCGCAGGACAATTCGGTATGGCGCTCATTGTTTGAACAACGTCGTGTGGATGGGTGGGCTGTTGACTTGAAGCGTGCACGACACGCACCCTCCACGTCAAGTGGATCATTGACAGCGTCAGGAACTTTGGTACCAGCGCCACTTGAGGTCGATTGGAGCAAAATCTATTGGACCAGGACCGAGCTTGATCGACGGTGGTCTGGCGGGGTGAGGACAGGGATAATTGCAGAGCCGAATCCGGACCAGCCCCTGCCAGAGAGCATCAAGGCCTTTGAGCCGAAACTGAGACGAATGAGCGGGCACATGGATAGGTCTGTCTCATTGCCTCCCCTCTTCAAACGTTTGATTGACTATAAAATTACCATGATCAGTGTATATTGCCTGGAGTTCGATTCATCTCGGATCATCACTGGATCGAGAGACCGTACGATCAAGGTCTGGAGCCTGAAGACGGGAGAGTGTCTCGCCAGCTTCAAGGGTCACCGTGGGAGCGTGCTGTGTCTCAAGTTCGATCAGGATTGGGACCTCAACGACGAGGATGGCGATGGTGAGCATCAATATAACGAGGAGACTGGCGAGAGGCCGTGGAAGTGGGGCTTCATGGTGAGCGGCTCGAGCGATTGTTCAATATGCGTGTGGGCATTGGGCGCGCGCGAGCGAGAGGGTGCTGAGGCAGGAGAGGACAAGGAGGTGACCGCAGAGATCACCACGATTTTAAGGGGGCACAGCGGCGGAGTGCTGGACTTGCGAATCGACTCGCGCTGGATCGTCAGTTGGTGTGTGGGCTCCTCGATCGCGATGCTGTCCCTGACTGACTTGTGTCGCCTCAGTTCCAAAGATGCGCTGATCCGCGTATGGGACCGCAATAATCTGCGGCTGCACTGCACGTTCCGAGGCCACGAGGGCCCGGTCAACGCGGTGGGCCTGCAGAACAACCAGGTAGTAAGTGCGAGTGGGGACGGCAAGATGATGCTGTGGGACATCTTGTCCGGGGAATGCGTGAGGACGTTCGAGGGGCACGATCGGGGGCTGGCTTGCATCGAGTTCAAGGTCCGTTGCTGCGGTTTCTCTCTTAAATGCGCACACGCTGAGTGGCTGAGCACGGCGATCACGGCGATCTGCAGGACGACCTCATTGTCTCGGGCTCAAACGACTGCAAGATCAAGGTCTGGTCTGCGTCGACGGGCGCGTGCCTGCGCACGCTCGGCGGGCACGACCTGCTCGTGCGTGCGCTGGCATTCGATCCCCCCAGCGGCCGGCTTGTCAGTGCGAGCTATGACAAGACGGTCAAGGTGTGGGACCTGCGCACCGGGAGGATGGTGCGCGAGTTCCGCGGCTGCCACGTCAGCCAAATTTTCGACGTCAAGTTTGACCACGGCCGCATCGTCAGGTACGTCGCCGCCGCCGTTTTGTGCACCGCCTGCGCTGACTCATGCCCCTGCAGCACGTCGCACGACCAGCAGATCGTCGTGCTGGACTTTTCTGAGGGGCTGGATGTTTCGCTGTTTGTGTAGCACTACTGTTCACCCACCACGGATCCTGCATGTTTCGCATCCGCTATCTTCCACCGACCGGCTGTTGTAATTTACCTCATTGTTTTGCTGCATCCATCTTGTGCGTGTTTCCCGGTTCAAGCCGCATATACCCGCTTTGCACGGACATGTGTGTGTGTGTGGTTTATATATTGTACATATGATATTTTACCCTGACGTCCGGTGTCGGTGACAATTGTACATCATCTAGCGAACGAGTCTCTCAAATGTGTATGTAGTGCCATCCCCACCCGGCAAGTCTGGCGTTTTAAGTTCTGCAACCCGCACCTACCCGTACACGGCCAACGTACACTGCCTTTGTCACAGCTAGCGACAGCTACACGCTCGCGAGTGGCGCGTCCGCCGGCGCCGGCTGTGCCTCGGCGAACCGCTCGATGACGCGTTTGACGAGCTCGATGTCCGGCGCGGGCACGTCGACGACGCGCTTCTCGCGCTCGAGCAGGCCACGGAACTCGTCCGGGAGCACGTCGCGCGCAAAGTCGAACCCGGGCGCGTCGTGCAGCGCGCGCGTCACCGCCTCGGAGAACTTGGCCGGGTGCGCGGTCGAGAGCACGACTTGGACCGTCGCCGGCGGGCTGGCGCGGCGTGCGTGAGCATGCAGGCCGCGCAAGAACGAGAACGGGGAGACACGACGTACTTTTCGCGCGCGATGGTGCGCGCCGCGGCGAGCCCGACGGCGGTGTGCGGGTCCGCGGTGTACGGCGGCACGGCGCAGAAGTGCGCACGGATGGTGGCGAGGGTCTGCGCAGCGGCAGGGTCAGCGTCTGCATGAGGGGCACAGCACCGCACAGGCAGCACCGGGACGCACCTCGTCGTCGGAGACGCGCTCCGCCACAAAATCGCGCCGGGCGAGCGCGAGCACCGCTGCGGGGAGCTCGACGCGCCCGTCTGTCTTGACCGCGCGCATCCACGCGTTGACGGTCGCGCACGCCGCGCGGGTATCGTTGTCCGCGGCACCGTCGAGCGCGAGGTACCACAGGAGGCGCTCAAAGTTGCTCGAGACGAGGATGTCCATCGCGGGGCTGAGGGTCTCGCGCACGCCGGCGGCGGAGGCGTCAAGACGGTCGTACGCGCCGCTGCGCCAGAAACGGGCGAGAATGTCGTTCGCGTTGGTGGCGACGCCGAGGCGCGCCAGCGGCAGACCCATGCGGCGGGCGTAGTAGCCGGCGAGGACGTCGCCGAAGTTGCCGGTGGGAACGACGAACTGGAGGGGAGCGGTGGGGGGGAGCTGCGGGCGGAGGCGGAAGTAGGCGTAGAAGTAATAAACGGTCTGTGCGAGGATGCGCGCCCAGTTGATGGAGTTGATCGCGGCGAGGCGGTGGGTGGCATTGAAGGTCCGGTCGGCGAAGAGTGCCTTGACAATGTCCTGGGCGGGGGTTAGCGCGCGCGGCGCGACAGGAGAAGACGCACCTGGCAGTCGTCGAAGGTGCCGTGCACGGCGAGATTGTGCACGTTTGCGTCGGGGACAGTAGTCATCTGGGCCTCTTGAATGGGCGAGACGCGGCCCTTGGGGTGAAGGATGAAGATGGAGACGTTCTCCTTGCCCCGCAAACCGTAGATGGCTGCACTGTCGACGAGGACGTATTAAACGGGAGAGTATGTATTGACACTACTGCGCACCTTCCTGTGTCCCCGCTCGTCGCGCCAACCACAGTAAGCGTTTCGGGCTGCTCGCCGGACGTCTTGCGCGCATTGCGGCGTGCGAGGAAGAATTCAAAGAGGTTCCCGAGCAGCTGGAGCGCGACATCCTTGAAAGCAAATGTAGGGCCATGCCAGAGCTCGAGGATGTACGTCTTGTCGTCGAGCTTTGCGAGCGGGGTGACCTCGGGGTGGCGGAAGGAGCGGTAGGAGCGGTCTACGAGAGCGGCTAGTTCCGCGCGGGAGATTTCAAGAGGAGAGATGTAGAGGGAGAGGATGTCGACGGCGAGATCAGCAAACGAAAGGTCCTTCCAAGTGGTCTCCCAGTCAGAGGGGAGGGCGGGGATGTGCTCGGGGATGTAGAGGCCGCCGTCGGGGGCGAGGCCGGTGAGGACGGTCTACGGGGAGAGTGAGGGGCGCAGTGGAGGAGAGAGGGGAACGCTGACCTCCTCGAACGAGAGCAGCTGGTCGTTGCCGCGGGTGGAGAAATAGCGCATGGTGGTCGTCCTCGTCGGGGTGGGCGTCGAGGGCGAGACGAGTCATGGCGGGGGGGATGAGAGTCACGTGGTGTACGAAATCGCATCTTTTGATGCATGATGGCTCGATTCTGGATGGAAGTGGGCGACAGGGTCCAACGGCCACGGTGGTCGACGACGCGGACAGGATCAGCTCGGTAGGAAGCCTTCTCACATGTTGCAACAGTCAAAATCCCTGCGGGGCCGGAGTGAGCGACGAGGACGACGTGCGAGCGCGACAGCGTCGACGCCTCCAGCTGCGCGCGGAAGGCTGGCGGGTGGATGCTGTCCCTGCCGTTGACGGTCTGATTCACGTCTGTGATATTTTTTTGCCTGAGCTCGACCATGTGAGGCTGAGTACGATCTGCGAGAGCACAGGTTGCAGACGGCAG